AGCGCCTCCGTCGTTGCGGATGGGGTTGCGCCATTGTCCAGGGAGGCCATGTGGTAGGCAGAGCGTACGGCACCCTCCCAGGACGGATCCAGACGGTTCCCTAGCGGAGCTGGTCGGTATCACCGTAGCTTTGCAACGCACTATTGGTGAATGTCATTTTGTGCTCGACTGCCAGAGTGTGATTGATGGGATTCGTCATGGACCCCAATGGAAGCACGAGGCTAATTCGGCTGCGTGGCTCGATTTCTGGGAGGCCTATGAAGGCCATCCAGGGCCGTGCCAATTTAAAAAGGTAAAGTCCCACCTCGAAGAAGGGGGATGTGGGGGTCCACATTACCCGGGAAGATTTTACCGCCAACCAGGCCGCGGATGAGTGTGCAAGTGAAGGGGCGCGCATGGCCAGGCTCCCACAGCATATCATCCAGCAGGTAATCGACATAGATAATAAAGCAGTCCGCGTGCAGAGGCGCCTGACAGAAGTCGCTCTGCAAGTGGCTATCCAGACCCCATCCCTATACTCGGCCACCTCTAGAGCTGATCGTGTGGCCCGCAGTCGAGCGTCCAGGGCCCAGCGTCAATCGAACGTTGAGCAAGCACTGCAGGAGACCACACACAGCGTGATCGAGAAGGGGGGGTATAAATTGTGTATTGTCTGCCGCGGGCGCCCTACCAAAGAGTGTGGGACGCTGGAGTGGCTTGCCTTGCTTTGCCCAGGTCGGCCGCACCAGATCCATCAGAGCCACGATGTGTCTTGTACTCGTGAACTCTGGTGGTGTCGGAAGTGTGGGTCGTACAGCAGTGCTAAGGTAAGCGCAGGGTTGCAAGGCACCTGCCACCGCCCAACAGACTGGGGCAAGAAGGTGCTGTCCAAACTCATGGATGGCCGCCTCCCCCCAGGTCTGAAGGCCTGGCCAGACGAGCTTGGCAAGGGGCTGGGTGCAGGGTAGTTTCACGCGCGCGCGCGCGCCGTCCCTCCGCGTCATGTGCGGACTTGGGGACTTGGAGTGTGCGCCAGGAGGAGGAGGAGGAGGAGGAGGAGGAGGAGGAGAAGGAGGAGGAGGAGGAGGAGGAGGATGTGGAGAAGAAAGGAGAACGAGTGAGGGCGGAGGAGGAGGAGGAGGAGTAGAGAGGAGGAGGAGGGGAGCGAGGAGGAGGAGGGAGGTAAGGTGGAGCGGAGGAGGGAGGAGGAGGAGGAGGAGGAAGGAGGAGTTAGGAGGAGATCATGGATGGGAGGGAGGAGGAGGCAGGAGGAAGAAGAGGTGGAAAGGAGGAGGAGGAGGAGGAGGAGGAGGAGGAGGAGGAGGAGGTAGGAGGAGGAGGGAGGAGGAGGAGGAGGAGGAGGAGGAGGAGTGGAAGAGGAGGGTGCTTGAGCCTGAGGAGGAGGAGGAGGAGGAGGAGGAGGAGGAGGAGGAGGAGTAGGGGGAGGGAGGGAAGGGAGGGAGGGAAGTGGAGGGAAGGGAGGGAGGATGGAGGGAGGGGAGGGAGGAGGAGGAGGAGGAGGAGGAGGAGGAGGTGGAGGAGAGGAGCACGAGGAGGAGGAGGAGGAGGGGAGAAGGAGGAGGAGGAGGAGGAGGAGGAGGAGAGGAGGAGGAG